GCGCCAGCCCTTGCGCGACCCGGACCCGGACCCGGACCCGGGGCCCGCTGCTCGACTCGGGAACTGGGGCGAGGAGAGATAGCTCCTGAGTGACGGGCCCGGAGGCTTTTCCTGCAGGGAGGCTAGGAACGCCGAGAGGACCTGACTTTCCTCGGAGCAACTGGAGCTCTGCTCGGGGGCGTAGCCAGCCCCAGGAACCCCGCTTTCCGGGGTCTGTGGGAAAAGCCGGGTTGGTGGCAGCCTTAACTCTCGCTTCCCACAGGGGCGCTATTTATACTCAGGCTTTCTTGGATTTGCCCGCTCTCCCCGCCACCTGGAAAACTGTGCCAAGTTCCTCCCTGGCGCGACCTTAGGTGGACACCCAGACCTTTCCCTACCTCCAGGGCGCGCGCATAAAGACGGGAGGAACTTGAATAATGTCATTGACTTTCCAGGTTTCTGACCCCTATGCTCCCTAACAGGTACGAGGTAGAGACAGACTTCACAGCTAATTACAGGGCTTTCAGGGAAACAATGTTAACTTGAAATACCCTTTAAAAAATAACGTACACCATGGCAGTGTATTTAAAGCTGGGGCGCCAAGGAAGATGGCTGTTGAAGGTGCAAATACATTCAGTTTTAAATGTCTTATTTAATCCTTGCTTCTGTTTCCGCCCTGATATGCCCTGGGAAGCACTACAAGGCTTCCCACACCTTCCATGGGCCTTACCTTGTGCTGGGTGGTTTTTTCAGGTGCCAGAGTTGGGTGGGATGTTTAGTATAGATGCCATGGGCCTCCGCGGCCCAGGACCTGTGTGGGTTCTCTTCTCTCCTTGGGGCTTCTCCAGTTTGAACACTGGGAAGACGAAGAGCACTCTGATTCCCAGACCTTTATCACCCCCACCCCCTGCCCTGTTTCCAAGCTTCAGCTCCACCATTCCAGGAACCTGCTGGATGTCCACTCCTGCAACTCCAGTCTTTCCACCCTCCCATACGTTCCACCTACTTCCTGCAGATTACTCTCCCCCAACCACAACCCTGACCATATCATTTCTGTTCACAAATGTTCTCCAGCTTCCCATTCCCTACCAATGGCGCCTGCACACTTCTATGCCACTGCACGTGGCAGGTGCACGCGGTAGGTGCACGTGGCAGGTGCACGTGGCAGGTGCACGCGGCAGGAGCAAACTTACCCTACCCTGTAACCCCTCCCCTTTGACCTCCATAGCACATGTGGGAACTATCTTTTAAAGGACCTACCACCTTCTGCTTCCTACAGAATATATGATCTTCCTTTGTGCACGTCTTAGGGCTTTAAATAGATTCCTCCAGGGTGGATTCCACATCACTTTGTTTACATTACTTACATTTAACTCAAAGACACATGTGTAGGAGGTACCTATTCATTCAACAAACTTTTCTCAGCACTCTATATTTACTAAATGAATGGAACTTACAAAATAGTTTAAGTCTAGAAAGAATACTTAAGATTAATTTCAGGTGTGCCTAAATTTAAGCGATATGAGCTTTCATAAATTTTGCATGTGGTGAAAATCCCCTCTTTACTAGCCCTACATCAACATTACTGATCACCTTATTGAGAATTTAATTATTTGACAAGTATGTTTAAAATTTTTTCCCCTTAAGTTTCCATTAGAGTTTGGAAATCTGAATCCATTTTTCTATGAAGTAGACATTAGTAAAAAGAGCAAATTAACTATTGGCTAAAAGACATTGCTGTTATCGCCAGATCTGGAGGTGGAGTGTTAGGAGATTACCCATTAACACCTGTGTGGATCTGTAAGCATGCAATGATATGGAGCAAGTCTTGGGAAATAAATCTAATTCCATTTACTAAGTTACTTATAGCACAAATGGGTTATGGAGAATAACCCTTAGTATACAGATTGTTTGGAATAGCTGAGTTCTCCATATGCACAGCTTGAATTCCGGATGGCTTCAAAGACTCTTGTGTTGATTATCAGCATGTGGTTCCATTGCCTTCGTATATATAATTTTGTATTTTTTCAGTAGTTCTCTAAAGAAAAAATTAAAATGATCTAGCTGAAAAGACAGACATATTTTTACTCTGTTAAGCCATCTTTTTAAAAAAACCTTTATTGGTATTTATAGAAATGTTCCTTTTGCTTGTATTTCAATTTCCCAGATTTGCTTTTAGATTTGATGAAATTGTATTAATCATAAAGGGGAGAAATGTCTGTTTAGTATATCAAAATGTTTCGCTCATAATACTTGGTAAAATACATAAATTTAATATAAGTTTAACCCAAGATACGCTTATGCACATCAGTTGATACAATTCAGATGAAGAATGTGTTTCCTCATGCATCACAATGTTGCTATATTGGAACATATATGTATATACATATACAACATCAAACATAATGGGTTTGGGGAATTTTTTGTTGAATCAAGTATTTGAAAAATATTTAATACAATCTGAATAACATCATTACTGACTATGCTTACATTTTTCAGGTTGGAATTTTCAGGGGCAAATTGACTTGCAGAGAGAGCCTGTATAGCTTAAAACAAGGAAGGGAAGGCAAGAGAGTGAACATATTTTAAATGTTAAAAGCATAAGGGTAGCCCTAGCCAGTTTGGCTCAGTGGACAGAGCGTCGACCTGCAGACTGAAGGGTCCCGGGTTCAATTCCAGTCAAGGGCACATACCTCAGTTGCATGTTCCTCCTGGCCTGGGCCCTGGCCAGGCCACTTGCAGGAGGCAACCAATCGATGTGTTTCTCTTACGTCAATATTTCTGTCTTTCCCTCTCTCTTCCACTCTCTCTAAAAATCAATGGGAAAATATCATCAGGTGAGGAATGAAAAAAAAAGCATAAGGGTAAGAATTTGCAAGTTTTGGGTGACTAAAATATTATAGTAGGATTGAATGTTTTTAAAAGTCAAATGGAAAGAAGGATGTGGCATATTAAGTACAACCACACAAAAACAAAAGCCAGTCCTAAAAGGATTATTAAGAATGACTGGAGGGCACCGGTGGGAAAGGGGAGTTGGGAGTGTCTGTGGATGGAAGGTGGCAGGGTTTCCCACTAGCGAAGGTGGAAGGCACAGGCATCGTGGGTTGAGTGTGAGTTTCTTGAGCAGCTAAGCAGCTGAGCAGCCAACTCCTGCCAGTCAGAGTCTCAGAGCTGGGACCTGGCACCATGGCAGGGCCCGCGGCAAGGGCACGAATCTTCTTGACAAGCTGGCCTAGCATGAGCCAGACCTGAGCGAGGTCCCAGTCAAGGAGCTGGCTGCAGTCCATCCCAAAGGCCACCATCCTGGATCTGTCCTGCCATAAATTGACTGCCATGGCATTTCTGTGGTCTTGCATGCCGGGTGCAACTGAACCATAGGAAGGACAAAATGCAGCAACTACGAAATGTTGGCCATCTGGTCAACCTCTAGCACCTGGATGTCCTCAACAGCAGGTGGGTCATCCTGCCTGGCAGCTTTGCTCAACTCAAGAGCCTGAAGTGGCTGGACTGAAGGACAAACCCCTGGATCCTGTCCTGGCCGAAGTGGCAGGGGGTTGCTTGGGTGAGAGGCAATGTCCATAGTGTGACACAGCTGTTCTCCCACAGCTGTTCCAGCACAGGAGGCAGTGCAGGCAGCTCGGAGCCACAGAGGGCACAGGGGCTGGAGGTAGAACTAGAGGCAGTGAAGAAGCGGGGGCCGAGAGGAGTTCAGTGCCCTCAAAACGTCTAAGCTGGAGCAGAGAAGAAGCCTAAGAAGGAAACAAGTCAGTCCCTGAAATCTAAGTCCAGTTCTGGGCCCCAGAAACACAGCCAGTCCTGAGCTGTGCTGAAGCTGCTGCTGTGTGTGGCAAGTGGGCTGGTGGCAGATGCAGCAGCCCCTCTGCACCAGCGCTACCACCATCTAGGACAATGCGGTCCAAGTCTGTGCAGCCATGACATCCTTCAGTGGGAGACTGATTCTCAGCAGTGAGCTTGTCCTCAACTCCTCGTGCCTTCCAGTCTTGGAACTTGGGTTCATATGGAATTGGGTTCTGCTGGACACAACTTCTTAGCTCAGACCTACTTGCAATCTCAAATGGCTGTTGATAAGTACTTGAGACCTCCTCTTGCTAGGACTTCTTTGTTCCTTAGTCAGGGTTCCCTGGAGGCATAAGAAGTGGGAAGGGATAGGCTTGGGGGTAGGGAGAGGAAAACATACAGCACTTTCTTGTTGTTATTCAAAGCCATGTAAAGGCAAGGCTCTTGTCTCCGAAATAGTTGGCTCTCACTACATTTATACCTTTGAATGTCACCAGCCCTTCCTTTCATTCCTCCCCAGGTAGCCAGGGCAGGTCAGGAGGCAAAGGGTTGTTAGTGGGAACTAGGAGAACATACTCAGCAAATCTTGCCTAAAGGGGGAG